ACACACACATTTTACATTTATACTCACACACACACATTTACACTTATACTCACACACACACATTTACACTTAAAACACACACACACACATTTACACTTATACTCACACAGTCACACACACACACGCAGCCGGATGTAATACAATGCAAAACGGTGTAATTTAAAATCACAATTGCGTTAAAGGCGCCGGAACGCACCGCTTCTCAAGCTACTTAAGAGGCCACGCGCTCTTTAAAGACGTCGTGTGAGCGCAACCGAAGACCTTGAGATCGCAGTTACAATACGTACACTTACACATACATACACGCATATACACCTTTATCTATCGACGTACATCTACAGTGCTTCTCGATCGGTCATTTTTTCTCTCATGCTCTACATTCCATTTTTCTTTATTTTGTTTTCTCCTCACCCCTCTTCCCCCTCTCCCTTCCTCCTCTTCCCTCTCCCTTCCTCCCTCTTCCCTCTCTCCCTTCCTCCTTCTTCCCTCTTTCCCTTCCTCCCTCTTCCCTCTCCCTCTCCCTCTCTCTCCCTCCCTCTCTTCCCTCTCTCTCCCTCCTCTTCCCTCTCCCAGCCTCCCTCTTCCCTCTCCCTCCCTCCCTCTTTCCTCTCCCTCCCTCCTCCTCTCCCTCCCCTCCCTCCCTCCCTCTCCCTCCCTCTTCCACCCTCCCTCTTCCCGTACAACCGCCCCTCCCCCTCCCCCTCCCTCCCCCTTTCCCTGAGTATAATATACACGTAAACGACTCCTTTTACTAATTACCGATGGCCGACGTTCCCATAGTTACTGTGACATCGTTAATCACCTAACGAGGAGGGGGAAAGATGCGTGGGAGATGGGGGGCGGGACAGATGGGAGGGGAAAGGAGAGGAGGAATAAGAGGGAAGGGAGAAGAGGGAGGGGAGGAGAAGAGGGAGGGAGAAGAGGTGGAGGGAGGGAGGGAGAGGAGGCGGAATAAGGGAAGGAGGGGACAGGAGGGAGAAGAAAGAAGAGGAAGGGGAAGGAGAGATAGTAGAAGGGGAAAGAGGATGGGGAGGGGGAGAGGAGGAGAGTGGAAGGAGAGGAGACGGAATGAGATGGGAGGGAGGGGACAGGAGGAGAGGGAAAAGAGGGGAAGAGTGAAAGGGGAGAGGAGGAAGAAAAGGAGAAGGAATAAGGAGAGGACGATCAACACAATGCAATCACTATGTGACAAAGTCGAGCGGTGGAGAGGGGAGGTATAGTATAGGTTTAGGTATAGGACAAGAAGAGGAAGACAAAGAAGAGGTGGATATGAAGAGGGAGAGGAGGAGGAGAGGAAGAAAAATATGAAGTGATAGGGTAAGAAGAGAGGGAAGAAGAAGAGAGAAGAGGAATGAGAAAGTAGGGGAAGGAGGAGAAGAAGAAATTTAAGGAAAGAGTTGGAGGAGGGAGAGAGCAGAGTTACTTAAATAATAGCAATGATGGATGATGATGATAAGAAGAAAAGAAGGAAAAAGAAGGCAGCGAATGGGAAGAGCAGGAGAGAGAGAGAGGGATAGGGTGGGGGGGGAGGGGGGCTACGGGAGTTGGTCACAGGTCACGCCACATTAACGTTACACGAGTGAATGGAGGAAGAAGCGAGGGAGGAGGGAGGGCGAGGAGTAAGGATGGGGGAGGAGGAGGGAGGTGAGAAGAGAGGGAAAGGGAGAGTGAGGAAGGAAGGGTAGGGGAAGGTACGACGAGGAGAGGGAGAAGAGAGGAGAGGAAGATGGGGTGGAGGAGAAGAGAGGAGAGGAAGAAGGAGAGAGAAAGGAAGGTGGGGGGGAGGGAGAGCAAAGGGAGACAGAGGAAAGGAAAGGAAGAGATACGAGAGGGAGGGAGAAGATATGAGAGGAAGGTAGGGGTAGATGGAGGGAGGCGAGGGAAAGGAAAGGAAAGGAAAAGAGAGGAGGGGATGGGAAGGGAGGAGAGAGAGAGAGGAGGTAGGAGTAGGTGGAGGGAGGAGAGAGAAGGGGAAGGGAAGGGAAGGGGAGGGAGAAGAAAGGAGGGGAAGGTAGGTGAGGGGGGGAGAAGAGTGGAAAGGTACGAAGAGGTAGAGATCTAGAGGGGGAGAGGGAGCGAGAGGACGGGGGTGGGGGAGGGGGAAGGGAGAAAGGGCAAAGTGTTAACGTATCCGACCAACCGTGGCAAGATTACATAATGTTATTCTCCGTCGGTGTGTATACTTGACATTTCAGTTCCCGTGGCTTACCTTTCCTCCCTCCGGCTCCTTACCTTCTTCTACCTCCCCCTCCTCCCTCACCTACTTCCCCTCCTCTCTCCTCCCTCACCTACCTTCCCCTTTCTCTTTCCCTCACCCTCCCCACTCACCTACCCCCACCCTCTTCTCTCCCCCCCCTCCTCTTTTCTACTCTTCCTCCTCCCTCACTTACCTCCACCTCCTCTCTTCTCCTTCCCCTCACCTACCCTCCCCCCTCGCCCCCCACCCCTACCTTTTTCCTTCTAGTTGTAAACAATTAGACAATAGGTAACGCATACGGATTTTAATTAATTCAAACCTATACAACAGTTTTTTACAGATAATTAATCCAATTATAATCCCACTGACTATTTTTTACAGATAATTAATCCAATTATAATCCCAATGACAAGATTCCTGACGATAAATAAATCGACTTCACATTCTCCTGCATACATTCTAGACATTTCACCTTTCGTCTTCCCTCAACCAATTCATTCTCTACAGTGGAAACAAAATTAAAGAAAACACTAAAAATAAGTAGATACAGGAAGGAAAAAATGGAAAGGGAAGAAAGAAAGAAAGAAAAAAATGTTTCCGGCGCCGAGGTCATGCTGTGAGAACTCCCGTCAGATACTGTTACTGCAAGCGGTGTCAACGCTGCGAGGTTCCTGCGTTAAATGCACGCGCAAAAAGGAGAGCGAATATCCATACTCTGTTGCCTCGACATTATGATATATAAATATGTATATATATGTGTATATACGGTTGTGTGTGTTGTGTGTGGAGTGTGTGTGTGTGTGTGGTGTGGTGTGTGTGTGTGTGGAGTGTGTGTGTGTGTGTGTGTGTGTGTGTGTGTGTGTGTGTGTGTGTGTGTGTGTGTGTGTGTGTGTGTGTGTGTGTTGTGTGCGTGTGTCGTGTGTGTTTGTATGAGTGTATGCATGAATGTGCGTGCGTAATGTGTGCGTAAAAAAAAACTAAAATAATAACCTATCCAACGGAAGGCTTCGGCAAAACAACAGAGCAGACGCTTTACATGACGAAGGATTGCATACAAGGAAGTCCTCAACCGGCAGACACAATTCAATCATCTATCCCACGACTCACGACTGCATCACTCAACTCCTCCGCTGAAACGACGAAGGCGAAGTGTTAATACAACGCATCATCTTCACAACTCACCTGACCTGATCTCTAACCCCGAGCCCTGCCCGTAATACTCCTGTGCCCTAAATTCACCTTTCCTGACCTGACCTTTGTCGACACCCACCCTAGACCCGTGAGTCACCGCCCTGTTTGTTCACACGGCGTCTACTACAGGGAGTAATTAACCGTGGTTTGGGAGGGAGGAGGAGGAGAAGGAGTAGGAGAGAGGATGAGAGGGAGAGCGAATGGGAGAGGGGAGGGGGAAGGGAGGCAAATAAGGAGAGGGAGGGAGAGGCGGAGAGGGAGGGAGGGAGAGAGAGAAGGAGAGGGGAGAAGGAGAGGGGAGGAGAGGGAGAGAGAGAGAGAGAGAGAGAGAGGAGAGAGAGAGAGAGAGAAGAGAGAAGAGAGAGAGAGAGAGAGAGAGAGAGAGAGAGAGAGAGACATAGACAGACACATATATAAAGAAAAAGAAAAATCCAGTACACGTCTCATTCGTACCGTACGTGTTTTTGCGAGAGAGAGAGGGCGAGGCGGAGTAAATTTCAAACAAGAGAAAAAAAGGAGGAGCAACGAAGGGAACAGAGGAAATGGGACGCCATTCCATAAGGAGACGGGGTTCCTGCGAGGAGAAAAAATAGGGGAGGAGCGACCGCGGTTCCTATGAGTACACAGCCCAGGGTCCTTAGGGCAAGCAAACACACTCAGCAGGATACTCCGTGGGTGTGCTTCTGTTTGGTGGGAGGCAGACGTGGAAGGGGCGGGGAGGAGGGAAAGTAGAGGAGGAGAAGGAAGAAGGAAAGGTTGGAAGGGTAAAATGGGAGGAGGGAAAGGTAAGGGTTGGGAGGAGGGAAAGGTAGAGGAGGAGAAGGAAGAAGGAAAGGTTGGAAGGGAAGGTAAAATGGGAGGAGGGAAAGGTAAGGGTGGAGAGGAGAAAAAGATAGAGAGTAGGGAGGGGAGGTAAATGAGGAGGAGAGAAAAGTAGAAGAGGGAGGAGGAGGGAAAAGAAGAAGAGGGAGGAGGAGGAACGAAAGGTAAAAGGGGGGAGTAGAGTGGGGAGAAGGGGGCAAAGGAGGAGGAGAGAAATGTAGAGGAGGGGAAAGAAAGAAAGATAAGGGAGGAAGAGGGGAGAGAAGGAGAGAAAGGAAAGTGGAGAAGGAAAACAGAGCAAAAGGAGGAGTAATTAAGGAAAGATGAAAAGAAGGGCTGAAGATAAATATACGAGAATCGGAGAAGAGGAAAGGAATAGAAAAAAATAAAGAGAATCAGAAAATGGAAGTAGTAATAACACGGAAGAGGAAAAGTAAAGAAATTGTAATGAGAGAGAGAGAGAGAGAGAGAGAGAGAGAGAGAGAGAGAGAGAGAGAGAGAGAGAGATGGAGGATGAGGGAGAGAGATAAAGTAAAGACAAAAAAGAAAGGGTGTGGATCCAAATTAAATGACAAAAAAGATGGACCAACTGAAAGAAAAAAGACAGAACTTAAGAAATACAATAACACAAATATCTTCCGCTCCTTTGGTAGAAAAAACAAACAAACATTTTACCCATAAACATCCTAAATGATAATAATGATATTCATTAACAAGAGAACATTAACGGTTTCATTTTAGATGAAATTAGTGAAGAGATAATAAAAATATTCTTTTTTTTTTTACATACCTGGAGATTTGGTTGGGATGTCGATAGTGATCCTGGTAAAGAAAAGGAAAAAATCGATAAATTTCGAAGTCAACGCACTTTGCAATAAATTTCACCCTAAATGATGATAATAAAATAAACAATTAATAATAATAATAATATAATAATAATAAATAGCAACATACCTGTCTAATAATAATAATAATAATAATAATAATAATATAATAAATAATAATAACAGTAAGCATAATGATAACCATAACAATTATGAAAATAACTTGAAAACAGTGGCAATCGTGAACAACTTGCAACTTGCAATCTTGATCTCAGAATGTACAGCGGAAAACCTATGGACAGTTTGTAATTATCACCCAAAAGGTTCTAAATGGAATGTTACTTTTCTGAAGATTTTTATTTGTATTAGTAAAATAACAAAATAGCTTATTCAATAAATAATTATATAAAAAAGTGTTTTTTCCTTATATGTGGCGTGGTTTATATGTAATTGATAGCCCATATAAATCAATATAAAACTTCAGTCAGTTATTATTTTTCGCAGGGCATGCAAATTGTCCAGTGCATAGTCAAATTTAAAAGTTTAAAATAACTAAACAAAAAAAGTCAGAAGAAAGAATCCGTGCTCTGGAACGCCTCCAATACATCACAGAATTAACGGCTGAGTTTCCCCTAATACGAACCCCATAATCACGAGTGTTTTATTAGCCCCTGCTCTTGGAAATAAATCTTCCTTGAGGTTTGAGGTAAAAAAAATAATAAAATAAAAAATATGGGAGATCCTTCCGGTTGCAAGGCTGCAATGCAATGGCAACCAGCAGGCGCAGTCGGCATAAGACCCAAAGCTAATTGCCCAAAAAGCCTAATTACGTAAAAAGCTAAGCATACACCTAACTGCCAGGCTCTCTTAACCACTGGGAAAGGGAGGTTACAGCCACCGCACACACTGAACTTAATCCTCCATAAATCAGAGCAAAGGTGCATAAGGAAACATAAGACAAAGTTGTACAAGCGGTGCTCATGTCTCAAGTGCCTAATTACCCTTTCCCGCAGGTAATTGCCCTGTCCCTGGTCATTAGGCCGTGACGGAAGTGAAGCGCCGAATTGGTTGTTCGCCGAGCTCGGGTTGCGTCGCTCGGGAAGGAACCAGTCATCCCGCTCGTGCTAATTAAACAAGACGAAAAGGAGAGAAGTTCTTTCGTAGTAAGCTGTGGGTCGGAAATTTGCAGACAAAGAGGGTAGTTTGGGATTGACTTGGTTGTTTAGAAATTAGGGACGGCTCTGATGGGGACTAGCTCGCTTGCTTTCTTGCTTATCCGGCCTTTCGAAGAACTTGCAGAATTCTAAACTGCTGTCGATAACATTACCATGACATTTCTAGTCTTCTATCACATATACATGACATTTCTAGTCTTCTATCACATATACATGACATTTCTGGTCTTCTATCACATATAAATGACATTATATAACGAAATAGCCCTACGAGAATCTTTCTAACACTGACCCTGATTTTCCCTCCGATAAACGGGACAAATTCACCCCCTCAAGAGATATTATTTGAACTCTCGTAACGCACAAGCTTCATCACACCCATTTTCGCTCATGCACAGCGACCCCCGCCCGGAACTCGGCCCGAGGGAGACCCCGCGTTGGCCGGTCGCTCGGGCGTCTCCGATTCGCCGCAAATGCAGTGTCATGCAAGTCTCCGAACAGACGACAAAACGAAACATAAATGAGGAAAAACACACATTGTGGGGGCGGGGGGAAGATACACATGGGTAAAGAGAGGTAAGAGAGGTGAAGGGGGAGGGGCAGCAGGAGCAGCAGGCAAGGAACCGGGGCAGTGAACGCCCGCCCCAGTTTCCGTCCCTGCCAGGAGCGCCTTCGGCTGGCGTTCGCGCTACGGGACCTGCGCCGCCACCACGTGCTCCTCGGCGAAGCGAACGCGCGCGGGGCTTCGCAGAATGCACGCTGTGTTGCAAGTATGTTTGTTCACTCCCCAGTGAGTGAGAGGGTGGGAGAGGGAGAGGGGTGGGGGATGAAGGGAGAGATGAGAGGAGAGGAGAGAGAGAGAGAGAGGGAGAGAGAGAGAGAGAGAGAGAGAGAGAGAGAGAGAGAGAGAGAGAGAGAGAGAGAGAGAGAGAGAGAGAGAGAGAGAGAGAGAGAGAGAGAAAGGGGGGAGGGAGGAAGGGAGAGAAAGAGATCACGAAATCTATCTATTTATCTATCACTCATACATTTACAAACACATTCTCTACAAACTAACATATAAACACACATACACCGCGTAAAATTTTCACACAACCAAACTTTCCATCAATACACCACACACACACACACACACACACACACACACACACACAACACACACACACACAACACACACACACACACACACACACACGCACACAACAAAACGCCATTTTACCCCCCCCCCCAGTCTCAAGAAAAATCCCAAGAAATCAGCCCCATGTCTTGCCAGAAGATTCTCGAAAGTCTCGTG